CCGCTGGTACCTCATTCTGCACTGCTCTTGCCCTTCAGCCCTGGCCCTGCCCTGCGGCCAAGGTGCCCGCCTGACCCCTGCCCTGGCCCCTTGGAGATGGGGCATGTGGCCTTCAGGTTGGAGACATGCCAGGCCAGGCTTCTCCTGGGTGGCCGCCTGCCCGGCTGGTGCCCTTGGGATGAATGTCTCCTGCTGTCCTCTGTGCCACACGGTGCCTGTCCTGTCCCCACAGCCACTGATGGGGGCCCAGTCCACCCAGGCCGGGTTGGGAACCACCTGGGAGATGCAGCGGCCACAGGTGTGTGGGGATCTGGATCTGCAGTCAGCTGCTGCAGGTGAGTGTCCCCCAAGACACCCGCCAGGAGCCCCTTCAGCCCTGGGCCAGAGGGGGCTGGAGCCAGCAGGGGCCCAGCGTGAAGGGTGTCTTGTCCAGTGTCACCCGGTATGGGCACAGCCAACCCCCTCAGGGAGCATGGAGCCCCCACACTGGGTGCAGGCTGTGGCTCCGGGCAGGACAGCCCTTGGTGGACACGGCCTTCTCGTTGCCGGGAGTTCCCGTTGGGTCTTGGCCAGAGCATGGAGTTTGCCCTGGGACATAGGTGTCTCTCATGTCCTCTGCTTCGGGCCGGGAGTGGTCCCTGGTGACAGTGGGCGAAGGTGGCTGACCAGGCAAGCGTGCGATCCCTTGGGGTTTGCCGCCACGCCTCTCGGGGCCCAAGGGGAAGCTCCCCTGTGGCCAGCACTAGGTCTGCTTGGCTCCCCCACAGTTCCGGCAGCTTGTGCTTGATGTTGGGGCTCCGTGGTTAGGCCCATGATGTCTCTTGTCTCCTGAGTGGCCGACCCCTTCATCGCTACAACACGGTGATGTGCTCTGCTCTGAGAGCCACCTGGTCTGATGTGACTGTCGTCACTCCAGGTTCCTGTTAACTGCCATTAGTAGTGGGCTAGGCGTTGGGCTAACGGCAGGCTTCCTGGTTCAAACCCAGTAGCCGCTCCACAGAGGAAGATGAAGCTGTCAGTTCCCCTGAAGACTTGCCACCGCAGGAATCCCCACCGCGCAGCTCTACTCTGTTCTGTGGGGCTCTGTGGGGTCGCCTGCAGTCATAATGAACTCGGCGGCAGTTAGCTTAGTGGTTGATGGGATGCGGCATCCCTTCACCTGTGTCTTGGGTCTGTGTGTGAGAGCGTGATTCTCGTTGGCAGTAACAGTCGTAGTATCGCATGTGGGGTCTCCCCGGCCCTTCTTTACATTCTCCCCACCCCTGCCTTGTAGATGGTGCTCACAGTAGTATCTGTGTGTGTTTCCTGCTGCCTTCCGGGTGGAACAGCCATGATCCCGTTGGCTGCTTCCTTTGTTGGCTTCACGGCTGGGACGCTTTGCTTTGTGTGTTAAAGAACAGAAAGCCCACCTCCGGGTGCCTGCGCCACGCCCCCCCCCCCCCTTTGGGTAGACCCAGGTTTGCACCTGGTACGATTTCCTTCTGCGTTAGTCTGGGTAAACTAGAGGAACAAATTCACAGAGACACTTACATGTATATAGGAAAGAGGTTTTTACGTAAGAGCAATTGAATATTGAGAACACACTCCAGCCCAGTCCAGATGTAGTCCATAAGTCCAATATTAG